GTTGGGAATTTATACTAGTCTTTTGGGGTCAATAAGTAAATAGAACAAGCCAAAGTTTAGGTGTTTTCATATAAAGAAGGCTCTTAACAATTTATATTGGGTTGTTCAAATAGTGATGTGCCTTTTTTCAAAGGAATTTGTTGGATTATGGTGCACAGAATTATTTGAACAACATAATAGATTATTTGGTTAGGTTAATTATAATATTCCGGTCAAAAAGTAACTAGAAGGTTGAAAATTAAGCTTACGATTACCTTTAAAAGGTTGTTTTATCTATTTTTTTCGAACAAATTGGTATCTTTTATGAATTTTCTGATCAAAAAACTATAAAATAGCATTGAAATGTGAGCAAAGGGAATAAAGCTAAACTTGGAAACACATTTCGAGCAGTGTAAAGATGTTATCAGAAAAGTTTCGTTCAAAAACTTTTATTGTAAACTGTTTTGAATTGATTTTTAATACGTTTTTCGGGTTTTGTGACCGTTCCGATAATATTCGAACTGTCCTTCCTTGTTTATAGGTATGAACTTTTGTTTGAAGGCATGGAATTTGATTTAGGATTAGGGTATCATGTTTAAGTCATCTAGCAAGGTTTAAATTAGTATTTTGGCTAGAAAAATTAAGGAAAAAGTTTAGCTTGAGGTTTTAGATAATACCGTTTTTGGTTGAACTGGGCGTTGTTTTACTATTGATAAAAGTTTGATGTCAGTACAGTAGAACTAATTTACAACGAATTGCTCGATGATTTGAAGGTTGTTCGTCATAAAGGAATTTTGTTATATAAAGGTTCATAATACAGGGGTTCTACTGTAATTATAGTTAGGCTTAATATCATGACGCAGAGAGCTTGCGGGGGCGTTGCTTGGTGAACGTTAAAGCAAAAAAAGCTTTCATGAAAATGTTTTTACTGGTAGATCTAAAAAATGGCAATTAATTGAAGATTGAGTAGAATTTCTGTATAACGAACTTTTTTATAACGAAAGCCTTATATAAAGAACAAATGTTAAAATTCTGGACAAAAACTACACAGTGCATTTAAAACTTTTGTATAACGAAACTCTTTCATAATGAGTTCGTTTAAACACCTCGAGCGATTTGTTATACATGGGTTTTCCTGTGTTTTAATCAGAAATGTAATGCATGACTGTTAATACAGTGAAATTCTGTATAACGAGTTTCAGGGGGTTTAAAATTTGTTCGTTATGAAGAGGTTTCGTTATACAGGAGCTTTAAATGCACTTTGTAGTGTTAGCCGGAAATTTAAAAGTTGTTTGTCATGCAGGAGCTCCTTATACAAAGATTTCACTGTATATTCTTTCGCGTTCTCTCTTTATTTACGTGTTTATCGGCCTCCAAAGAAGTATTTACGTGTAATATGGCTTTACATTACTACATTTTATGCCTTTCTTATCCTAATGTAACAATTATTTCTAGGGGAACACGGGGACCAAATTTGACTGACACAACGACTCACCCACCATATCTTCCTAATATTTTGCCGTCGTTTTCATTCACTGTGAATAGAAACCGGAAACTCGTCGTCCACAAGCAGAGAAGAGAGTTTGCCCCTCCTCCAACTGAAGACTTAATTCTCTCCTGCTGCTTTGTAATTTTGACAAGTTTGACAACACGTTTGGATCAATTTTTGAGGATATTAACATTGGATCAACCTTGAAGATATTAACATTGGATCTTGAGGATTGTGACATTAATATTGGACTAACTTTGGGATTTTTGGATCAGTTTTAGTAGATTTGATAACAACTTTGGATCAACGTTTGAAAGACGGCGAATTTGATTATGTTACAACGACCGAATTAAAGGTAAGCATTCTTGTTGGTTTGATGTTTTGATAAAGCAAACTTTGAAACTTGACATTTTTTAATGTATTGGGATCTTTCTTCACAGGAAACATGTATTTTGTAAAAGTTCTGAGCTAAAACGTTTTATTTTGAAAAATAAAATTGACAAAGAGGACGAAAGTATAATATAAAATAATTCACGTTGGGTATTAATTTATTAATAAAAAGAAGAATTTTGAAATATTATCAAAAATTGAGTTTATTCAATTTTATATAAATTGTCGTTTGGCTCATAACTTTCCGGACAACGTAATAGAAACATAGATTTTGTGTCCATTATTGATTCGACTTTTTTACTTTAAAAATGGGGTTGCTGCGCTGTATTGTCTGTTGATTATAACGAGAAGCTGTTTGTAACTGAAAGTAACAAGATGTCTGCACTAAAAGGTTTTAGTTCAGTACAGACAACTATGGTTATAGTCAATTTTTGCAGAAAATTCTTGTTACAGTGAACAGACAGATCATTTTTTAAAGCTTATTTGACATACTAGACTTAGGAAACTCGCTTGCAAACGAGAAACTTCGTAGTAGCATGAAATTGTTAATGATTAGTAATTATTGTTATAATGCTCATGATTACTGCATCATTTTTATATTGTTCATGGTTAAATTCATCTAAAAACCAAAGATTTAATTTGAAAAAGTTTGAATTCTCAAAACAAAATTCTCTTTGGATTTAAAGATTTCAAAAAGTTTTTATCCAAGGATTTAGTGAGTAATCATATTAGACTACTGATTTCTATATTTATCTTGTTTATTTTAAAAAGTTATTATAAAGATTAATTATAAAAGGTCAGGCTTGTTCTGGCATACAGTCGAATTTTAAAAATTTTTGGTTGTTTTCAACTTGTTGTTGTAGTAGGATTTGCTAATATTACAGTAGAATTTGCTCCCAAGCAATTTTTCCCCAAGTTTAATAACTCAAACCTCATAAAACTGGAGTTCATGTACCAGTAATTGATATCTAAACCTCGGAAGGCGAATGGTTTTTTGATTCCATGACTGGAAACGGGCATGGCTTCTAATGACCACATCCTCAGACAGCCATTTTTTACAAAGTTCAAAAGCCGTTCTTTGCTTTTTAATTTGTCCCAAAAGGACGAAGGCCAAGATTGATTGGGCCAAGAAAAATGAATGTACAATTGTACACTGTTAAGGCATGTTAAGATGGCTGGGGATGGAGTTGGGTTATTTTTGGGTTCGGGTGGTGGTTTTTTGAATTTATATGGGTTATTTTTTGGGGGATTATGTTGAACATTTTTTACGTTTTTTGCTAAAACTCTTTAGCTTCTGTCTAGTACATTTACTTTTAATTCTATCCTTACCTCTACTACTACACTAATCTCACTTTTCCCTTACAGTAGGCTTGGTTTATTCCTATGCTTACTCTTACTCCTCTTCTCCCCCCCCCCCCCTCTTTTCCTCATCCTAAAGCTACCCTTACTTTGGACCAAGAGGTGAAAAGCGAGCCGGGCCCACTTTTGAGACTTGGGGATTAACTTTTAGGCCTAGCTTGATTTCGTTTTATTATGCCAGTCCGGCCCGGCCATAAAAATCTATTCCTGGCGTAGCCCGGTTCGTTTTAAAAAAATTCGTTTTGAAATTTGAAAAAATTAACGAAAATTTGGCTTTACCTTCTTTTCAAGCTTTACTCGGGGACTAGGACCAACTTTTAAGCTTGGCCCGGTTCTATTTTAGCTCAAGGCCAGTCCGATTGTAAGGCCCGGCCTACACGGTTAGTTTTTCACCCCTATCTAATAGACCCTTAAGGACCCTTCTGTAAGCATTTCTTAGGTTATTTTAAAGAAATCTACCCTCTCCCCCTTCTTTATTTGTAAACTAAAAAAAATTTTTTTTTACCAATTTATACAGGGTGGGCCAAAAGTTCTGTTACAAAACTTTACCGGTCGTTTTTCTCTATGTTGCGGGTAAATTATTTAAAATTTTTTATTTTAGCTTATTCTTCGTGTTTTTTTATTGTATAACCATAAAAGTTGTAATTTCCAAAAAAATGACAAATTTGCTGCAACTTTTAAAAAAACTTCCTTAATCAGATGTCTGACCCTACTCTAATGCTATTTTTACAACATAAATCTTTCCCCAAACACACTGAAGAATTACTAGTCATCCGAAAATGGAAATCCCAAACGGAACCATATCTTCCAGCTATTTACATTGCCATTCCCGCTAATCCGACCCCAACCTTATTTCTACATAACAAAGTGTAGAGTTGTCAAAAGCACATATATTTTCGTTGTGTGAACGCTGAGGATTAGGCAATTCATACTTGGGATGGTAATAAAGCAGTCTACTCTTGGAATCGTCGTTTTGTGGCTAATAGGGGTGAGAAAAGGGTCGGACCGTGCCACTTTTGGAGTTCTGCTTTTTTTTATTTTTTCTCAGGTTGGCCCAACTTGGTCAAAAAAATTATTGGCTTGGCCCGGCAATTATGTAAAACCAAAGATTTTTTAAACTTTATTAAGCCCGAGCTCACTTTTAAAGCCTGCAGGCCCAGCTCGGCTTTTAGGCCCGGCCCGTTTCAACTTCATCTCAAGGCCGGACCTACAAGTTCCGTGTCTTACCTCTATTGGTAAAATACTCAGCTAGTGGCTAAAGCTATTGAATATTGGGAACGTTTTTGCTTGGTTTAGCTTGAAATATAATATATGTTTAATTTCAGTTAGGGTTTTTGAAATTTGTATATAGAAGGATGTTGTTATAGGGAAAAGAACTTGAGGTTTTTGTGTCGTAAAGTTGATCTCACCACGAAAGCTTTCAATAGATGAATTTTGTCATTTTAACAATTTCAATTTTACTTTATCGTTATTTTAATATTAAATTTTTTTGTGTTTTACATAAAACTCAGCTATTGAAAGTTTTCGTGGTAGGACCAAAAAATTATAAAGTATACAAAAATTGAAATAACTTTATTAATGTTTATAAAAGCTTATCTTATATTATAATTTTGAGTATGTCATTTTTAATTATCTACTTTTTTAGTAGTTTTTTTAGTTTTAAAATGATTTTTTTAAATTTGAAAATTAAAAAAATTTTAAAATTACTTGTGTTTTGATCTAATTTTTTTTAATTTTTAAAATTTTCTCATTTTTTCATTTTCAGAATTCTCAACTCACTTAAATGACCCGACCGCGCCCTCCGCCTCGAGGGCCCACCACCTCCACTAACACACAACGAGCCACCCTCACCTCAACTCGAATATCAACCAAATGCATCTCATTCCTTCCGCATCGGACCGTAACGATCTCATTCTTCCTTTTACTCCTTGTTCACGCGGGTTCAGCAGCCTCCAAACTGTACACAAATCAATGGGCCGTTCGCGTCGCCAACGGCACCGAAGCCGATGCAAAGGCGTTGGCGGCGAAGCACGGCTACGAATACATCGGGCAGATCATACCTGGAAAGGACGTCTTTTTGTTCGGCGATCTCCGAGACAAGGCGAGGTCGATGCGGAAGTCGAGGAGTTTGAAGTCAGCCACGCTACAACGGGATCCTAGTGTAAGGTTTTTGGTTTTTGATCAATGTTTAGGTATTTTGAAGGTTTTGTGGATAAGGTTTAGGTATTTTGAAGATATTATGAATAAAGTTTAGGTATTTTAAGGGTGTTATGGATCAAGTTTAGGTATTTGGTGGCTACTATGAGTAAAGTCGCGGAAGCCTATTGTGATTTTAGGTATTTTGAAGATATTTTAGATAAGGTGTAGGTATTTTGTGGCTATTATGGATAAAATTAAGACATTTTGTTATCGGATTTTAAGCTTAAAGGATAAAGTTTTGTCAATTTTTAAGTTTATTTTAACTATATCTTTTCATATTAGGTCTGTTATGTTTGGTTTGAAGTATTTTTTAAGCTTATAATTCCTAAAATTGAGCGTATTTTGTCAAGTGTTCCTAAAAATAAAAAAAAAATTGGACCGTTTTTGTTACAAAAAGTCTTTTTTACATTTGGCTCATCAAAATAAAGTGGAAATTTTAGAATAATTATTTAAAAATAGGTTTAAAACTTCTTTTGATTTTATCTATAAGCTCTTTCCTCCCTCTCTTTTGTTTTGGAGAAGTTCCGAGCGCTTTTCTTTCGTCTCCCATGTGGTCTAGTGGTTAGGATTCGTGGCTTTCACCCACGCGGCCCGGGTTCGATTCCCGGCATGGGAAGTAATCTTTTTTGGTGTTTTTCGACGAATTTTTGAAATATAAGGTGATTGAAAATGAGTTTTAATGTTGTCTTTTTTATATTTTGTCATTTTTTGTTTTAAAAATTATGACTTTGAGGCAGAAAGTTAGGTTTTTTTACATTTTTGATGGTTTTTTAATTTAAAAAGTCATTTTTAAAGTACTTAGGTAATGTTTTCATGGTTTTAATGTGCTTAATGTCATGTGTTGTGCTATTCAAAAGCTATGCTTCTTATTAAATTTTTAAAAATTTTTCAATTTTTTTACGTTTTAGGTAACATGGTTACAACAACAAGTAGCGAAACGTCGAGTAAAACGTGATTACCAATACAACGATCATCCACACGCTTACGTGCCGCGTCGTATCGACGCATCACCTGACTATCGCGTCATTCATGATGACATTTTTCACAAAAACAACGAAGTTGGTGGCCAAAACTACCGTAAGAAGTACGGTATCCCCAACGACCCATACTGGAAAGATATGTGGTATCTACATCGAAGTGACAACCGAGATGGTATCCTACTGGATCACAATGTGAAAGAGGCGTGGGATCTAGGGTATACGGGCAGGGGAGTGGTGGTAACCATATTGGACGATGGGTTAGAGCATACTCATCCTGACATCGAGCCTAATTATGTAGGTTTTTTGGTTTTTTTAATGGTTTTGGGGTTTTAAATTGAAAATTTGTGAATTTGAGAGATCCCGAGGGTGTCGGAATTATATTTTTTTTGAAATTTGTGGTTTTTGAGTTAATTTTAAAAAAACGTTTTTAGGTAACAAATTTCAAAATTTTTCTTTTTTTGTGTTTGAAAAGAAAAATATTTAAAATTATGGCATTTATGGTTTGGTTTTTGTTGCATTTTATTGTTTTTTCATGATTTTTTACTTTTTTTTTGAAAAAAAATTGGCAACTGTTTAAAAATTTAATTTGTTCTTGGATTTGAACACAAAATATTTTAAATTATGATCTTTTTAATGAATTTTTACGCATATTATTGTTTTTTTTATAATTTTTTATTTGTCGAAAATTTTTTAGATAACAAATTTCAAAATTTTTATTTTTTTGTATTTGAAAAGAAAAATATGTAGTATTATGACATTTTTGATGAGATTTTTATGCATTTTATTGTTTTTTAAGGATTTTTCTTTTAAAAAACTGATTTTTAGGTAACAAATTTAAAAAAAAATGATTTTTGGAAAAATTTGAAAAATAATATTAAAAAATTGAAAATAGGCTTTAATGGCGAATTTTAAAATGATTTTTTTAAAATTTTTTTTATAATTTAAATTTTTTCAAATTTTTAAAAATTTTTTGAAATTTGTTACCTAAAATTTTTTTTTAAATAAGTAATCAACTATTTTAAATTCCATCAAATTCCAGGACCCCCAAGCTTCATACGATGTGAACGAAGGTGATCCGGACCCAACGCCACGTTACGAGTACACCGACGAGAATAGGCACGGTACTCGCTGTGCTGGAGAAGTGGCAGCCGTCTACAACAACAGTTTGTGTATTGTTGGCATAGCCTTCAACGCCAAAATCGGCGGTATCAAAATGCTTGACGGTGAAGTTACGGACGCTGTAGAAGCCTCAAGCCTCTCTCATAACCCAAATCACATTGACATCTACTCGGCTTCATGGGGACCAGACGACGACGGTCGTACTGTAGATGGCCCAGCCGATTTGACTCGACAAGCCTTTGAGAATGGCGTCCGCGAAGGCCGCGGAGGCCTGGGCTCAATCTTCATCTGGGCCTCAGGCAATGGAGGCAAAGATGCGGACTCATGTAACTGTGATGGCTACACCAACTCCGTCTACACTCTGTCGATATCGTCGGCCACAGAGAATGGTAACATACCATGGTACTCGGAGGCATGCTCATCCACACTCGGTACAGCCTACTCATCTGGCGCTACTGGAGAGAAAATGATCGCCACAACAGATCTACATCATTCGTGTACCAAAACTCATACTGGAACGTCGGCTTCAGCACCATTGGTTGCGGGCATCGCCGCCTTGACTTTGGAATCGAATCCAAGGTTAACATGGAGGGATCTACAGGTAATATTGAGGTTTATTTAAGGGTTGAAAAAGTTTGGTTGGGGTAGATTGTCACGGTAAGAGGTTAAGAGGAATATTGACGTAATACAAAGCTGGTTTGGAAAACTTGGGTTACTGTATAAGTTTGGTATTAGAAAGTTCAAGGAAACGGCACTTTTATTGATTATAAGTGGTGTTTTTGCTGTCAAGACCTTCTAAATTTCCTATTTCCTTCACTAGTGTACTACACCGTATTTTACTTTAACTTAGTTTTGCTTATCTTTTACTTTACTTTTGCTTTACTCTACGTATATCTAAGTTTATATTAATGTAACTTATTTTACTGATTTTAAAAATACATAATTATAACTTACTTTGCTGTATTTTTATCTTACTGTATTACATTATATAATGTACTTGATTCTACAGTAATTTTAATATACTTTAAAGTATTTTCACTTTACGATAAATTATTCTGCTTCATTTTACAGTAATTAAAGCGTTCTTTAATGGCCTTGTTTTACTGTAAACTGCTTTATTGGTCTTGTGTGTTGTAGTTTTTACATAAATCTTGCACTGATTAAAGTACTTTTTCCTACTACCCTTTTACCTTATGTTTTTACTTTATCCTACCTTTTTACTTTAGTATCTCTTATCTTTTTCTTGCATATTCTGCCCTTCTTTTCTCTACTTTACCATACTTTGCTCTCTCTGTCTTTTAATGTCATATTTTTTCCTAGCTTATCTTATCCTACCTTACTCTTCTCCATCCTACGCCATTTCTTCTTCTCCTACTCTACTCTACCTTATCTTACCATATTCTATTATATCTTACCTTACTCTATCTTACCATACCATACCTTACACTACCCTACTTTACCTTACTCTACCTTACACTATCCTACCTTACCCTACCTACTTTTATTCCAAAATAATGGTCTCTAAACTAATATCTATTTTTCAGCACATTGTCGTCCGCACGGCCAATCCACGCGGCTTAAAAGCAGGCGATTGGAAAACGAACGGCGTTGGCCGCAACGTCTCTCACTCATTCGGATACGGTCTTCTCGACGCTGGTGCTATGGTACGACTAGCTCGACAATGGCGCACAGTACCACCACAACGAGCGTGTCGTGCGTCCTATCCAGCACCATACAAAACAATCCCAAATGCTAACCGACTACATCTTCAAATGTTCACGACAGCATGCACAGGAGATCCACAGAATGAAATCAGACAGCTGGAACATGTTCAAGCCATTATCACTTTGAATGCTCCAAAACGAGGGGATGTTCAGGTAAGGGGATGAGAGTATTGGCAGGCGAGAAAATATTGTCTTGATAAGCTGCCGTAGAACTCTTGTATAACGAACTCTTTTATAACGAAATTTCTGTATAGTGGACTTGTAATAGGTTGAACCGAAATTAGCGGGACACGTTTCATCGAGGGCGAGGACGTAAAATGGGCTTATTGGGCCTTGTTTGAGCCCCGATTGTGGGGTATACATGTGCCGAATCCGTCTATTTTAAATTTGCTTCTACCCGGCCTGGAGCCGAGTCAATGTCGGGCCTAGTGAGCCCTTTTTTAAGTCTAACTGTAAGATATTGTATGCTATATTCTTTGTTTGGGACCCAGTCTTCGCGATTACATGTGTCGGTTTGGACCCGCTTATACATGGGGAACGGGTCGGACCTGAGCAAAATTTAGGTCGGGTCGGGCATAGAAATCCCGGAAAAGCTCGGCCCGCTTTCACTTTTAAAAAATTTGCCTCAGACTGTGCAGGCCTGGAAATTGGGCTTGGTCCGTTCCTCATGTCTAGACCCGTTCCCTACTTTTTTTACAAGTAAAATGAGTTCATGGGACCTTGTTTGGGATTTGGCTTCAAGGCCCATATGTACCGGCTCGGCTTTTTTCAACTTTCCAGTTGCCCAGCCCGCCACGTAGGAGCCTGAAAAATGTGCCCATTGTAACGTGGATCACGAACTTTGTCCATCAACTGAAGATACAGTATAACTCTTTATATATATAACTCTTCTGTAACGAAAGCCTTGTATAGCGAACAACTTTTAACTCTCTGCTCAACACTACACAGTGCATATTAGACTCAAGTATACCGAAACTTCTTTATGGCGGGAAAATTTAAAATCCTCGACCGATTCGATATATTTACAAGAGTTCTACTGTATTGTTTAGATAAAACTAGTTGGTTACTGTCATAGCTATTGTCAGTCAAAATCTTTCAATTTTTAAAATTAAAAACAGGTTATAAATGAAAAAACAATTTTTGAAATTTCAGGTATACCTAATCTCCCCAGCTGGCACCCGCTCCACCCTGTTAGCCAAACGAGTTCGTGACACCTCTCGAACCGGCTTCCGTGACTGGGCCTTCATGACCACCCATTGCTGGGGTGAATCGGCCACAGGCACTTGGTCATTAGAGATTGACAATGATGGTTGGGAAGACGCCGAACTTCTCAAATGGGACCTCGTGTTCTATGGTACCAGTGAGACAGTTGGTTCGATGGGAGGAGAAGGGTACTATATTAGCGAACGCTCCGTGGATCACAGCTTCCAACCTCAGGCATCTGGAGCTGGAACACATCGAGGAGTTACTAATGGCTTGATTACTGTAGTTTTGGCTTGTCTTTTGACGGTTTTTATGATACTGTATTGAGGAGAGGGGTACTGTAATTGAGGATAGGGTACTGTAATTGAGGAGAATAGTACTGTAATTTAATAGCATGGTAGCTATTGGATTACTGTAGTTTTGGCTTGTCTCTTATCTGTTTTTAGGGTACTGTAATCGAGGGGACGGTACTGTAGTTTTGGCTTGTATTTGGACTGCTTATACGATACCGTAATGGAGGGTACTGTAGTGGTACATGTGTGTATATACGTGGTACTGATATTAAAGTGTACTGAAACTCATTTAGTACTATATTGTACTGTATGATACTTATAATACTGAATTTTGTGTTTAGTACTGTAATGTTGGTATGGTACGGTATAAAACTCAATTTCGAGCATGGTACGTACTATCACGTACTATAAAATTTGTGAGGTACTGAATAGTAATGTCACTATCTATGGTACTACAAAGTACTGTAATTTTGGTATGATACTGCATAGTACGATTACTTCATTATGGTACTGCATAGTGCTTATAGTATTATTTCTTTAGCCGTATCATGTTGTCAATACTGTATGTAGAGCCCGCTGTAACAGCTATCTTTTTGTTCATACTGTAACATTTTATTTGGTGCTGATCATATTTCGTTTCGTGCTGAAATTTCAATCGAATTCGTAAGTACAAGTATCACATGTCTTGATATTAATGATATTGTTGTATAAAATACGGTGCATTAGAAAATGTCTTATTGTTATTACAGTACGAGTAATATCAATTCAAAAGTCATTCCAATTTTACTATTCTTTGAATGGATTACTGTAACTTTTTGAAACTTTTTAATTTTTTTACGTTTTTGGGTTACTGTAACTTTATAAGGTTTACCGTAATTTTTTCGGAGTTATTGTAACTTTCTATGGGTTACTGTAACATTCTAAAAGTTACTGTAATTTTATATGGTTTACTGTAACTTTCCAAGGGCTTCTGTAACTTTTTTTGAGTTACTGTAACTTTGTTTGGGTTACTGTATTCTTTCTTTCTTTTGTGTACCGGATTTTAAATTTGGTTTTTTTAAGTTCAGACTACTGTAGTTTTTAAAAAGTTACAGTATTTTTCTCAATTTCAACTTTTTGTATTTTGTCGGTTACTGTAACATTGTGTTGTAAACTGTGTTTAATATTGTATCTTCGGGTCTATTTTAAGTAGGATTTGAAAGTGGATTACTGTAATTTTGGTTGATTTTTCTTTAATTTAGATTTTTTGTTAGTTTATTCAAATAATTCTGTGCCCCATCTCAAAGCAAATTTTGGAAGCTTGGGGTGCAGAATTATTTGAACGATCTAATATTAGGTTGTATAAAAAGTAATGAGCTATGCCTTTCATAGCAATATGGAGTTCAGTAGCTCATTAATTTTTATACAAGCTAATAGTCATATTTTTATGGTTGTTTTTGGAAATAAAATTTTAAAATCAACAAATTTACTGTACTCCAACCTGGTCTATTCGATTTTTCTTTCATAAACCTTGTCTCATGTCACTTTTTTCCAATTTTCTTTCATTTTGACTACTGTAACATTGTATATTCTATGCAAATTTTACCATATTTATTATTGCGATTAAATAAACTTGGATTTTAACATGTTTTTGGGTACATTATTCACATGGTTTTGAGTATAAACGGCTGTAAAATAAGGTTTTGCACCTAATTTTTTGACTTTTTTAGGTTTTAGAGCATGGAAAGAAAGTCGCTGCTGTTATGTCAGATTGGACAATATTGAACATTTAGAGAATAAAGTTTGTAGAGCTTATAATGATGTTTATATTCAGAAATTTTCAAATTTTTACCTTTTGATTTGGCAGCATTATGAAGGTTTGAAAATGTCGAAAATCAAAAAACGTTCGAATCCGCTTGGAAGACACAGCTTTTTAAAAATAAAAAAAATCAAAAAATGAATACCATTCTATGGGAAAATGGTCACCCAGTTGATCTATTTTACTCTATGTGGTAAGTAGTATAATATTTTAACAAAATTTACAATTTAAAATGCTATATTGGGAGGGTTTTATGTTCGTTTATAGCAATATGTTGTGTGTAATATAAAATCGTTATTTCCAATAAAACAAAAAAATTTTAAATAAAAATCTAGTTATTTTCAACTTACTTTACTTCATATACGTCCAGAAACACCAAGAAAATTCCATAAAAAGAGAAAAGAAACGAAAATTCGGCTTTAAAACCGCGCGCTTTGCCTGCTTTTCGTGTTAGGACCAAATTTATATAAATTATTTTTTTCAGCTTTTATTTTCTTGATTTTCCAATTTTTTGACAATAATTACATGATAAACAGTAGTTTCTACAACAAAATGTATTTTTTTAAACTTTTATATTTTAATAAACAACTTTTTTATTGTTTTAGATCTTAAACTCCACTATTTCAGTTGAAAATGTCGGATTCCGAAGCCGAAACAAAGCCGGACGTCTTCCGTTGTGGGGATTGTATAAACTGCTTCAGAAGCAGTAACTGCGAGAAATGTGCCAATTGCGAGAAGAAGATCGAACCATGTTTGAGAAGGATTTGTGTTCAAGCCCCAGATGATAAACCAGTAGTTAATGCTGGGCGAGGTAAGTCAATGTTTTGAGGTTATTTGTTTGAATTTTAGTGAAATCTCCAAAGAAGAAGGACCGAACACCCAAAACCAAGAAGGGTTTGAACAAAAAGGGAAAGGTAGGTTTAATCTGAAGATAGACAGTTTTGACAATAGTGTAGTGTTATCTACATTAACATTGAAGTTTTGAAGGGTTGGCTTTGGGGCTCTTTTTTGGTAAATTAGAAAGTCAAAGAAGAGACTATAGTGCTGCTTTTGACAATTATGTGAGCTTTTTTACTTATTCACTTAGGAGTTATGGAGGTATTAGAATATTCAACTGTCTAAACCTACTTTGATCTGAAAATTTGATCATAAGTTTAAAGTTAATGATCAAACTGGCTTGAAACTTTGTCAGATCATAGATATTAAGGCCGTTGTTAAATGATTAGTTTACTTTTGATTTATTTCTGTTTTATAATGCTTTCTTTTCATCCGCATATTGTTTTAGATAACAAAAACCAAGAAATCAGTCTCTAAATCTCCAGTTAAAAAGCTAAAACGTGAGAAGGTGGCTTCAGTGTCGTCAACTTTTGAAGTACAAACACCAGAGTGTAGTTTCGGAATAAAGTTAGAGCCAATGGCATCTCCATTGAGTTCTCCAGTAAAGAGCATTGATTTGAGCAAAACTGAAGTGAAAACAGAGCCAAATGAAAATATTGATGTTAAACCAGCAATAAAAGAGGAAGTAGCAATTCAAAGTGATAATTCAAATCAACAAGGTCAAGTGAAACAGAGGAAACCTCATAAACCACATAAACCTCACGTTTGGAAGACCAAGGAGCAGAGAATGGCCCTGAAGTTGTTGAAAGTAAGTGCTTTTGACTGTTTTCTTGGTTTTCAGGTATTGATATGGACTAAGGAAGGTGTTGGGTACGTGGTTTAAGGTAGTGGTTTTGTTTCTTTAAGAAACGCTTGTAAAACGATGTTGTAGTAGGGAAAAGAGGCAAAACCTTTAAAAATTGGCTAAAACAACATCTTTTTCAGGAGAAACAAGAAGAATTAGAGATGAGACAATGCCTAGGACCAGGCTGTGTTAAGTACGCCATGGTGAACTCGAAATATTGTTCGGAAGAGTGTGGTATGGCTTTGGCCAAGATACGACTATGTCGAGTGTTACCACAAAGAGTGGCCGACTTCTACGGAGAGAAGCCTATTTCGGAAATGGAAGCTGATTTGAAGATTCAACAATTGACTAAAAAGAAGGCTGAAATTGAGAATGGGCTGTCGTTGGCCGATTCTTATACTAAAAATTTGGATTTATATTTGTCGGTAAATATAATATTGATGATTTTTAGTGGTTTTTGTGTCGGAAATGAGGGTTTTGGCTGGGTCTATAAGTTTAGATATTGGTTGAGTTTGTTTTTTATAGTTTTAGCTATGACTTGACACTTTTTTGTAATTTTAAGACGTTTTAATATTATTTTAGGTACTGTCTCAAGGATCAACAGTGGTGGCTTCATCAAATACGGAAGAAAAGGAGGAAGATGAGGTTACTTTTGTAAGTAGTGACAAAAACTATGTATGTTACTTTATTTTGTTGCTTGTGTTGTTACTGTGGCTTTTATTTACTGTATTGTGCTTTTTATCTACTATATTATGATTTTATCTACTGTAATATGCTTTTTGCTAACTTTTTGCTTTTTGAAGTTTAAAATGACATTTTTTATGTTATGATGAAGGTTTTTAACTTATTTTTGAAAAATTTTTTGGAAATTTAAAAAAATGATTTTTTATTGACAAAAAATTATTTTAGGTTACAAAAATATAGTTTTATAATTTTACATTAATATCCTAAATTTGGTGATTTTAAACCTTAATACTCCCACTAATTCATAAATCTCAGCTTTTGCCATTTCCAGCCTCACTGTTGCTTCATTTGTGGAGCCGAAGTCTCAATCAAATCATTGCCAAAACATATTCAAAAGTGTTTCGTTAAAATGGAGAAACAAACCACATTCGGGACCAAAACTCGCTTCTCATACAATCCGAATAATATATTGTGTGAGACGTTCGACAAAGCGACCGAAACTTTCTGTAAAAGGCTCCGAATCATGTGCTCGGATCACTACAAGGACGATATTGGGTCTAGCATGAAGGTAAGGAAGTTGTTAGTTTGTTCAAGATTAATTGTGTAGATTTTGTTGAGTATATGTAACTGGTTTTGTCAGGAAAACGGTTTTATACAGGATTTTTGGACAAAATGATGAAAAATTTAATTGTTTGTGTTAGTAAAGTCATTTTTCTGAATATTTTTGCAAAAGAAAATGGATTTTTTGCGTTTATTTGGATTAGTTTGGGAATATCGTTTATTTTAAAGACTATTATTTACTTATTTATGTACTTCTTATTGGAACTTTGTCGGTTTTAGCTGATCAAAAGATCATTTTGTGTCTAAAAGTAGGATAATGAAGCGTATTTTGAATAAAAAATAAAAAGAATATATCGAAATATGAATTTACAATGGATTTTTGAACAAGTTTTAAAATAAAAATGCTTTTTCAGGTGTGTGGCTACCCCATCATCTGGAGCCAGACCAAGTCCATGGAGATGAAGGATATGTTTGGCAATTTGGAAGCGATCCTATCCGAAGGAATGTGCTTTACCGAGCGAAAACAATGCGAGAAACACTATCTGTGGGAACAAACGGCCTATGCCATCATTGAGAACGACCGAATGAGTCTTCTTCTTCAACTCGACGAAATCACAGAACATTACCGTCGACTGGCCGAAGTCTATCGTACTCGAGGCGACGCCGCCACGTTGCTTTTGAATTGGCGAGAACCCGGCCACGGAAGACAAGTCGACGAAGACCTGAAGCAACAAATGGACAATCAGGTGGAGCGTATGATCCGCGAGTACCAACGTGCCAACGACGTGAAGAACGGCGCGGTCCCAAAGCCACACGATCCTACAAAACCACGTCGCGGACGACCCCCAGGCCAGCGACGAACTCAGCCCAACGTCAGAGTACCACTCTCACCTCAACGACCCTTCAACGTCCAGGTACCTCAAGTTCGATCCTCTTACCCCGACTCCAACCTCCAGCCGTCAACGTCGGCCCACCAGATGAGTATGAACCCATCCTCAAGTCGCCAAATCCCTCAACCTTCACGCTTCGTCGTCCGCCAACCAACCCAGTCTGAACCAAGAAGCTTCGACAAAACCTACAGTAGACCACCTCTTCGTTACGGTACTGTAACACGAACTGTAACATCGCTACCACAAAGAGATGTGCGACGGACAGTGAACAACTTTACTCGAACTTATGAGATCCGAAGAGACCGGTCGACTAGTCCAAAGGAACTGAGCCAGTCTCAGGTTACTGTATTGGAAATCAACCCCAAAAAGTTGGAGAGGAAGCTGGTGATACAACCGAAGATACTGTACGATCAGGAACAGCAGGAACGGTCCATGAACGAAGACGGACTGAACGGAGACGGCGTGAGAAGTTACAGTACCCACGAGGTCCGAAGTTACAGTAACGATGGTGTGAGGACCTACAGTAATGAAGTACCCCAACGCTACAGTAATGAAGCAGTGAGGACCTACAGTAATGAAGGTAATGAAACTGTAAGGACATACAGTAATGAAGCCGTGCGAACCTACAGTAATGACGTTCCTCAACGTTACAGTAACGAAAACGTCCGGAGTTACAGTAATGACGGCGTGAGAACGTACAGTAGCGAAGGCACAGAACGGTACATCACGGAAGAGGTCAGAAGTTACAGTAATGACGGTGTGCTTCCCTACAGTAATGAAGGCGACGAAGTTGTGAGGTCTTACAGTAACGAAGACAATGATACTGTAACTACGTTCAATAATGAAGGGGACGAAGCCGTGATTACGTACAGTAACGAAGTCGTGATGACTTACAGTAGTGAAGGTAATGATGCCATGATAACCTACAGTAATGAAGCGAGTGAAGAAGCCCAAGCTTGTCCTGATTATGACATTGAAAGCGAAAGCATAGTGTGAATACGATTTTATGACCAATGTTAATATACCCTTTATATTGTTTGATACTGTACAATTTTCAACGTTAATCAAGTCAGAAATAAATAATCAGCAATTTTTCATTAATGGCATGATTCAATTCTTATAGTTTACTTTTTGACTTTTAATCATTTGCCAAGGGAAACCAAAATAATTCAAATTTAAAACTCAAAAATGCGAGCTTAGATTTTTTATAGGTTCTATTGGTAGTACAAAGAATTCATACAAAATGTTTTGACTGGTTTTGAGCAGGGTAGCACTTTCCCAGTTAATTAAAAAAAAGTTTTTAAAAAATTTTTAATTTTTTTTAGTTTCCTAATCGAATATCTAGTTTTATTTATATTTTTTACGATGCGACCGGTCGGTTGTTTATTTTTGTTACCTACTGTTATATTTGCATGGCCTCGGGGCGTTTCTCTGCCAGCCGCCTTAACGACAACGATTCTTGGGTTTGGCAGTGTTTTTGGTCAAGATGGTGGTGAGTTCTCATTACTTTTGAAATCCAAATTTTAAATTTAAAATTTTTAAATTTTAGTTACCCTCAATTTAAGGTGATTCGACGACTACTATTGAGACAACTATTGTTACCCATGATACAACAACATATACGGACAATACCACAGTACCAGTCGATAATACTACCGCTTTAGACAGTAATACCACTACAGTATCTACTAATACTACGGAGATCTCTACTACTGCAATGACTTCTACAGTAACCCCAAGTACCACCGAAGTGCCCTACAGTACTACCGAAGAGCCCCACAGTACTACCGAAGAGCCTCACAGTACCACTGAAGAGCCTTACAGTACCAGTTCAGACCATTCGATAAGTCCAAACTGGACACTTCCACCAGTACCAACAGCTCTTGTGTACGATGCTGAATTGCATCATGGGCTGGTACTAGGATTGTTTATCGTTGGGACATTGCTTGGGGCTACGAATTTGGTGATGGCTTGGCTATTGGTGGTGGAGTTCCATTTAAAGGTAAATGGCAAAAACTTTCTTTACAAAAGAAAAAATGGCAAGAACTTTTTTACGAAACGCAAAATTGCAAGAACTTTCTTTAAAAAATCAAGAAAACCTTTTCCATTGTATAACTTGTCACCTGCAGGCTGCAGAACATCACGTATCCTTATTTTTTGATAAAGTGGCAAGAATTTTCTTTAAAAACATAAAATGGCGAAAACTTTCTTTACAAAACGTAAAATGGCAAGAAATTTCTATACAAAAGGAGTGGCAAAAACTTTCTTTACAAAACAAAAATTGCAAGAAATTTCTTTACAGAAAATAAAATGGCACGAACTTTCTTTACAAAACTTAAAATAACAAAAGCTTTTGTTACAACGAAGAAGCGGGCCAATTTTTAACATAGGACTTTGTTTTCAGCACCTCCAAATGCTCCAAATGGTAAGACATAAGCTAGAAGTGGCCGAACGGATTCTGTTCGAACGTGCTCTCTCCGACGAGATTCTCGGTCTTCTACAGGACATCGGCTTCGATGCGAACAAGTACGAACCACAATTGTTAACTCATATGCAAGTGGTTGATAGTGAGCAGCAGAAACCTGACAGTATGGCACAAACCCGAAATCAGTCTACTAATCAGACGACTGGCGCTCCGTCTACGGGAATGAATGGATAAACTTATTATAAATAGGATTAATAAACTGGTATTTTGAGAAGGTTGATGATTGAATATGTTTTAAAATGCTTGAAAATTGTTGTGTATGGTTCAGAGAATCTCATTTTTACAAGTCCATGTCTTATCGTATAACATGTCTCTTGCAACGCGCACTTGTTCGGCCGCAGCCGTTTAGTGACAAAAGTTGTTTTTGTTTCGAGAAATTGCTTTGATTGCTTTTTCCTCTTGTTTTCTTTCATCCCTTGGGTTGAAATTTGATTAAATTGTTGAAATATGCATTAATACTGCTTTTTCGAGTGTCTTATTGTGAAAAATAGTTGATTTTTTTTGGTTTTAGCAGTTTTTGGAGAGTAAAATACGGTTTTTGATGTTGTTTTGGACTGAACGAACGGGTTTTACGTGTAAATATTGTTTATTTTGATGTAATGTTATGTTTTCTATGTTTTAGGGGATTTATAGTGCTTGGGAAATGGAGAATAGAGGTTACGAGCAGAAGGACATCTTCAACCAGCCAATTTCTTGGTCATCTGGACGAAAATTAACAGAACTGACCAGTTGACAGCTCAAATTTGGCGCCATACGATTGATTAGAAGGAGAATAAGTTGATTGACAATGTAAGTGTTGTTTTTGCTTTGTTTCTTTTGTTTTTAGATTGATTTGGAGGCCTTATGATTTTGGTATCAGAACCATGGATAACATTCTTTTGATAAAATTCGTGCTTTTCAGAGGGATTTGATGGATTGTAAGTTGGAGTGATGTGAGCCAGATTCTGGGCCCTATGTTGAGTTGCAAATCAATGTATGGAGACCACGGCTCGGAATGAACGTTTGAAACATTGATGTTGGTGCTGTAGATGTATGAACAGATAATGAACGTCAATTGGCTTCTGTGTCTAATGTAAGTTGAATTTATTACGTACGTTATATGTATTATGGTTTTGAAGTTATAAAATTTAAGAATATGGGTAAAACTACGGGGTTTTCATTGGTAGTATCTATGATTTTTTGATGTAATAGATAATATAAAGTTTTTACAGATAAACCTGGATGTATTATAATGGTGCTGATTTAGTTATATTTTCTGTTGTACTATTGATGTTTTAAATGCAAAATTCCCGATTTTACGGTTTCTCTGAATGAAATATTAACATATACATCAGATGGTCATAGAGAATATGTTGAGGGCTTGAATAAGTTTGGTATTGACGAATTTTGTATCAAAAATTGTTTTAAGTTGCTCTTTAATATCTTCCGATATTTTCTTTAATAGATGTGAAGGGTATTGTTATGTTTACCTTGAGAAAGAGCGGAACTAGGATAAGTATTAGGTGCCGCATGGATAATATAAGAAATTTTTTTGAATATGATAATTTTTGGTTGATTTTTGTAAATTTCTATATTTTAATAATGTATGCAAATGTTTTAGATGTTGATATTGATCTGGTGGAACGTTCAGAAATGCTCAAACATCGATCAAGTTGTTGTTGGACAACATAGATATCGGAGAAACCATACCAATATTGGACAAGGGACCAAAATGGCATCTGAAGTCAGAAAGATCAGCTCGTAATCTAAAGAGCTTGAAAAAAGAATGCCAATCTATGATAATGTTTGTTTGATTTATTGTATTTTGCGCGTTATTACCTATTTTTCACATTGTTGGGGTGGGTTTCGGTATTGTGCTGAATTTTTTTTTCTTTTCAACTGTTTTTTGTTTATTTTAGATTGTATTGCGCGCGTTGTGTCATTATTTACCGCGTTGTTGGGTGGGTCTCTGTACCGTGCTCCCTTTTGGCGGCTTCGGTTCCTAGCTAGGTTAGGAGGAGGTCCAAGAGCAAGGTGGGACGACAGGTCTGCTGGCAAGTTATAGATGGTCACTACTTCTTGAATTTTAAAGGTTTTGACCTGACTAAATTCGAATTTTTTGGCCGAAACTTGATTTTTTCGAATGTTTTGTTGAATTGCCGTTTTAAAATGCTAAAGGACTGTTTTTGAATTCTAGCTTCAGACTTGTTTGACCTCCATGCATAGTGTCTGGTATACTCTGACTGACACTTTCGGCCAAAGACCGGTCGAAAATAGGATGAAAAGTAGATTTTAAAAGATTTTTTTACGAAAACGAAATTTTTATCTTCAAAGTTCCAAAAAAGCGTTTTTTTTATAAAACTTTGTTCTAGTTTTAGAAATTTAACTTTTGGTCGAAAAAATCGAACTTTGAAAGAACGCTTTTCTGCAGTTTTTTCATTAAAAACTTGTAATTGTCGATACTAAATTTTGATTTTTGTCATTTTAAATCTCTTTTTCGCCCAAACTAACTTTCTGCCCATTTTTTGACCGGTTTTTGGTTGAATTTGCTTGATCTTTGTCCCTGTCAGGTGCGCCTTGGGTGTTGTCCCAACTGTTCGCGAAGACTGAGAAGTCAGAAGTAGCTCGGTTGTCAGAGACTTCACCTTGGGAAAGGAGGTACCCCACCTCCTTCCCCGCTTGGAGGGGGACTTCATCACCCCGTCCTCCAAGAAAAATAAGGGGGAGATTATTCGAATAAACAATACGCAGGCATAATCGATTATATTTATTCAAAGAAAAATTGGTCATGGCCTCCTGCTCAGGAGGTGGATACTGAGTTCCCCTACTTGGTGGGACCAAGCGGGGTCAGCTCCACCCCCACAGGAAAGGGAACGAATTCCCTCTCCCAAGGTGAGTCTCTGCCGAGATGCCTTCTGATTTCTCGGACTTCGCGAACAGTTAGGACGACTTCCAATGCGTACCTGACAGGGACAAAGATCAAGCAAATACCGGTCGAAAGCGGACAGGAAGTTGAAGTTTGGGCGAAAAAAGGCTTTCAAATAACAAAATCAAACCTTAGTATAAAAACTGGAATTTTTACAATTTTTTGCAAAAAAGAGTTTAGGAGGTCAGACAAGGTCTGGAGCCAAATTACCCTTAAAAAATGTCTTTTTCTGCCGAAAATGCATCCCAATTTTAATCAAAATCAGCTTTTCCGAATCCAAAAACAACCTTTTACCATTTTAAAATGGCAATTTAGCTAAACCTTCCAAAAAACCAAGTTCCGGCCGAAAAATTCAAATTTAGTCAAGTCAAAACATTAAAATTTAAAAGTAATGACTATCTATAACTTGCAAGCAGACCTGTCGTTCCAACCTGCTCTTGGACCTCCTCCTAACCTAGCTAGGAACCGAAGCCATCAGAAGGGAGAGCGGGTACAGAGACCCACCCAACAACGCGACAAATAGGTAATAACGCGCAAAATACAATAAATTATACAAACATTATATTATAGATTACGCTTCTTTTTTCATGCCCTTTAGATTACGGGCTGGTTTCACCTAAGGTCACCTTGGTCATGGTCCATCTGATGTTGTCTATGGTTTGGCAAGGTTCTGGGTCTCCCATACGAACTCGATGGATCCGTTGCTTCTTGAACGTTGAATTGAGACGGGGGATGCTTCTAAAACAATTGATCATATTATTCAAATCTCGACAACAAAAACAACACAGAATTTGAAATATTACCCATGATCAACCTCATGTTTTTGGCGATATCAACGTTATTATACACTAAAGACCCCATTTAATCTCAGGTACCAAAAAGACAAAAAGGAAAAAACTAAAAACGCGTCTACAACCAGTATTTACTAATAATAAAGTCCTTCAAGCATATTATCCATGGACGCTAGATGTCTATGATAATATTACTCCCACGAATTCTTTTTCCAAAAACTATTAATACAACAATAATTATCATGAAAGTATGTCTTTTCCGATAAGAAATTTCTATCTTCGAAATTACGATATTAACCATGATATAAAAGAGTCGCTAATAATACCCTTTGAAAAGCCGTGTTTAAACGTATAAATATGTCTTAAATAATTGCGAAACATCAATAATCATAACATTCATAATGAAGCCAACTTACAATAGCCACGAACTTCCATCAAACATCCAATGTCCATCGATCCATCTATGCCATCAAGTAGAAGATTACAGACGATTTGTTCTGAACTTCTATGCGCTCTTTTGGCCTGATTTGTAGCTAATAACAAGGTCCATGGTCTTTCACAACATTTTTTAGAAGACAATCCAGATAGCTTCACTGAAAAACGTGAAAATTAACCAAAGTATATTATCCTTGGTTCTGATGCCAAAGTCAGAAGAAAATCCACAAAATCAGCCTAAAAACAGAAAAACCAAAGCAAAACGCTAACTTACGTTTAACTCAGCTTGGATTTCTTCTAGTCGATCGTAGCTGACGGGCCATACACACACATCTGACCTGTTACGCCCAATTTCTTCCACATCTTACGTCCAGATCAGGTTAACATCCTCAAACAGACCTAAAAACAGAAAATACAAATCAGTGATAAAACTTACATGTAAATCTTGTAATCCGTCTAATCAGTCGTACAACATAACATCAGCGCTCTCATCCTGCGGGTTCTGTCCACTTTCTCCCAGCTTCTCCAGAACCCTGGCAGTTGAAGGTGTTCTTCCAGCCATACCACCAAGATCTTTCGCTTCCAAAGCAGTTCCTTTATCCTAAAACATTGAAAATGAACTACCACATCAAAATAAAGGTTGTGCAAGGTCGTGAACTACCCATTTCGCGCAATATCATGTCGTAAAACTTATTTTAGTGTTCAAGATCAGCTATATTCCGATTAGTTGCTTAAAAAACGTTCAAAACCATTAAAATTAAGCCTAAAATTAAATATCCAAATTAATTTTAAAAATTCAGAACAAAACTTCGAAGAAAAACAAGAGACCGCGAGAGGAATTGTAATCAAAACAGATCTTCAAAGCCAAATCATAATCCGATCAAAAACAACTGCGCCCTTGTTTTCCCAGTGCAGCATGCAATGCCCTTTTATACGCTCGAATGTATACAGGATAGTAACAAAAAATATAAAAATTTATCGCTTCTGACCATCAAACATCCAAATAAAAAAAAACAAGTAAAATTTTCCTCAAAATCCTTAAAATGAACTGAACAAAACACTTAGGAGTTATCAAAGATAACACATTTTTAGGTAATAAAAGTTATATTTTTAAAAAATCAAAACCACATTAACAATCTCCGTTTTATGCTCTTTTAAATGGCGTAAACAGCTTCAGCCATAGTTTGTCGTAATTGACTAAGTTCGCGTTTAAAAAACAACAAAATACTTTCAAATGCCACTCTTTTTCATAAAACATCTTTTCATAAAGTGTGTTATCTAGCATCACAAAAGAAATACGGAGTTACTTCTTCAACTGTTACCCTTCAACAACAACTATATTACCCTTTAACAACTATATTAAACTTCAACAACAACTATATTACCCTTCAACAACAACTATATTACCCTTCAACAACTATATTAAACTTCAACAACTATTTATATTACCCTTCAACAACCCAAAAAACAACTTATAAAAGGAAAAAACCAAAGAATAGTCTACACTACGAATAGATTCGATTTTATTTCGTACAAATTAGTCATTTTTTCGCCGGGGCTTCGTTTTGGGAATCACTTTGTGTGTCGGATTCAGCTAGACTCCTCCCATTTCTTATGTCTGAATCAGGGTGTTCGCTCTTGGCAATGTTTTTCAGCTCGATATGATAGTCTTCTCCTATTCTTTGGACCTGAGCAAAGTTGCCATGGTGACGAATTTCGCCATCATTCAAGGAGTGTTCCACTTGTCTGGGACCTCTTCCTTGGGCGTTGGCGCCTGCTGGAGCTCCTGTGCCATTCGTTCCTTTTCCATCAGTACCGGTATTGGCCGGAGCCACGTTGTTGGAAGCGCCAGCCTTTATCGACTTCTTGGACCTGGAGAGCTTGGAATTGGAAGTCTTGGAATCGGAGACTTTGGAATCGGAAAGCTTGGAATTCGGATTGGAATTAGAAGACTTGGACTTGGTCTTTCTTCGCTTCTTCGGTACCTTGCCTTTAGAGTTGGGCGTCCCAGTAACTGATGTCTCGCTTGGCGTTCCCGATCCTGGCCTAGTTTTCTTGCCCTTCTTCCTGAAGTAGCAGTAGACTCCAGCTAGGACAAGAAGCAGCACTGCGAGAACAATACCAATAATCAAACCGATTTGCCAAAGGGGAAGTGAACTGCTGAAATAAGGTGTGGTAAAACTGTGCTTAAAAATGAGTTTAGAAACTCTAGGTTTAGTTTTTGAGATATAAATTTTAAAAAGTGTGAAAACTTTTTTAGGACTTTACATAAAAATAAATTTTTTTAAAATTTTTCCCCGAAAATATTATTCCCCGAAAACATATTCCCCGAACTTACATTCCCCGAAAATACTATTCCCCGAAACTTCCTCCCCGAAAATGGACTCCCCGAAAACGCATTCCCCGAGATTTCCCTTTCCCGGTAAAACTGTGCTTAAGTTTAGAAACTCTAGGTATAGTTTTTGTAACTTAAGTTTAAAAATTGTAAATAACTTCACATTAACGTATAACTAAAAACAATTCTTCATTAGCCTCAAAAATTTTCCAGAACCTCATACTAAACTCACTCGGACTCGGTAACAATGTCAACCACTTGGGTAGTAGCATTGACTTCTGTAATAGTCGTTTCCTCCACTAGTTCAGTAGTTGTAGTCAGTGGTTTCTCTCTAAAATTGGAAAAATATTAAATTCCAGCTAAACCATTTCCATTTTATCAAATTTCGTACAACAATTACAAAACATAAGCCCAACATAAAGTAAGATAAGGTCTTATGTAAATTTCGAAAAGCCAAGATCAATAGATGAAGTTACAGTAACCGTCAACTTACTTTAGATACAAGAGTGCCAAGGTTGTGTCGAGTTGAGCGTCAGTGAGGTCGCCTTGAGTCGAGGAGTCGCGGTTCTTCAAAGCCGTCTAAAATTCTAAATTTTTCAATTTCTACCCAGAATATAACTCCACCTTGTATCTATCTTACTGTAGAGGTTCAAAAAACAAAAATAATTTTTAAATTTGAAAAAATATAAATCTTACCATGGTAAACATAACTTTGTCCACCGTCGGGCAGGGCTCTGCCTTCATACTAGGAAGTTTTCCTTCAACAACCAGCTTCAGACATTGGCCCTGTGCTTCCCAAATCAGACCTTCTGAAGTGTGGCCGAATGTCATACCGCAAATCTTCGGAGAGTCGAAATTCGTCAATTTAAGTGAATTAGGATTCTTAATTGGAAAATAAAAAGAACCCAGATAAGTGCACCCCTGGCCGAACACGTAACCCGAAGATGAACTGATTTGAACTAAGTCATCCCGTTTTGCCTTGGCAGTCAAAAACTTTGGGTCACGTCCGTTAGGTGCCAACCAAAATCCTACTTGTGGGGGCCTAAAATAAGAAAATTAATTATTTTTATAGCAAAAATATAAATTTTGAAAATTATTCACGCAACTATACTTACCGCCCCTCGTACTCCCCAACGTGGAGGACTGTGTCAACGTTAGTACTTTGAGGCACAATCATATGCTTCGTATACTTGATTGTTGAATCCAGCTTGTACTTGCTAAAAAAATCCGATTCACTAACAAAAAACTTTACTGAGTCAAACATATACGTACTCAACCATCAAAGAAGATACTCACTAATAACAAAATTTAAACCTAAATAATTGATAAAAAAAAGAAAATTTCAACAATAGTTGTTCATAACATTTGTATTATTTCACTTTCACCGTTATGGTGGACATTAATATTATTGGTGGTAGAGTTGACGTCAGCTACTGATATTTCTAAAGCTACTAGAAGCAAAAAGACCTCTTTCCAAATTCTGTACAGTAAATTGTTAATGTTGAGAGATTCTGATATCTTATTGCCAGAAAATTATGAAAATATGAACGAATTTTGGGATAGTGACGTACAAGAAATGGTGAAGTACACATCATTAATGTCCCCCATAACGGTGACAGTGAAATAATACAAATGTTATGAACAACTATTGTTGAAATTTTCTTTTTTATCAATTATTTAAGTTTAAATTGTGTTATATTCTTTTTTCTTATGTTCAAAATGTTAATTATGTTTAGTTTTAAGACTGTATTTATTAACAAAAATAGAAAATTTAAAATAGAAAAAAAATAAAAAAACATTTTGAGGTGTTTTTTAGCCTTTGGAAGCCGACGGGAACCGATCCCTTAAGCTTCCGAGTCAAAGTCGAGCTCACTCGCTCGCTGCTATTGAACCGCTTATGCTCTGCGCTCAAAAGGGAAAATGAGACAAAAGTATTTAAAAAAACAAACTTTGACCTGCCAAAACTATACTGCGGTAAACAGAAACGTACTCAACTAACAAAGAAGGTACTCAAGAAAAACAAATGATCAATACAACTTACGCAAAATCAGCCACGACGGTGGAATTGCCCGGGCATCGGACGTACTTCGAAGCGACGGCGTTGTTGTTCTCTACCTTAAATGCGTAGAAGTCTACGCATAACTCGGTTCTATCGTCCACTGCCAGAATGGATAACGTGCTGATTGCCGTGTACGCCTTCAAGAAGTCCATGCACACCAAACCCCAAACTCGAAACCAAGGGAATGAGGCATTTCCCGAAAATCTGCGCCTTTTATAGGACTGACTTATTTAATTTCAAAGTTCAAATGAAATTCAAAATTTTATTCAAATTTCAAAAATTCAGAAAAAATTTCAAATTTTACCGTTTCTAGATCAAACTTCACCCAATATTCTGAATTTCAGAGTCTCATTGCTCAAAAACTGAAGATTTCCTTCAACCGCAAAACTTCTTCAAAAATTATATTATCCATCCTTTTTGCGTTGAAACTATTTATTTAAACATTGTAACTTGCCTAAAAACCAAAAAAAATTAAATAAAACCAACTTACTTACAAATGTTGATATTCCTCAGCTATATTTCAAAGCATCTTATCCAATATTCGGCGTTCTTCAATTTACAAACTCTAAATCAAGGTGAAGATGTTCGTCTCAAACCAAAACGAATTGTTCGTCATGCTTAAACGAATGTTCTCCATTCTAAAACATTCATCCATTACTTTACAGCTTTTCTTGGTTTTGCGAATCTATAGCACGCAATATAACATCAACAATGTTGTTTTAGACCACACAATATTCTATCCAAAATTATTACGGGAAATTCAATCAAATCAACAAAACGTTTATAAAATATTAAAATAAAGTCTAATTATCACCTAACTGTCAAAAGCCATACGAAATTGGTCGAAAACCAGTCGTAAACCCAGAGGGAACAACGTTGAAACCATTTCAGAGAACAAAATCAAGATTAGACAACGCACGGCCGCGCCCAAGAAACCAGTGCGAGTTGCAGAACCATTTTATACGAAATTTGCAGGAAGAAAAAAACAATAAGAGCCACTTACCCAGTAAGTTTAAAACAAATAAAAGTGAACAAATACCAAAAATAAGATCCAAGTTTCATTCTTTTTAGAAAACGATAGAAAATCGAATATTACCATGACCAGGTTTTGTGAAACAGTCACCGACTAGCCATTTCAGTTTTCGAATTTGGACTGTGTGTAAAATACAAATAAAATAACATTGGAAATCGAACTTCTTTCCTATACAAACACTAAGATTTAGCAGATTTATTTGGACCACTTTCATTGAGGTAAATCAGAAAGACCTTTTTGGACTTCTTGCCGGACTTCGTGGGATTGGAAGACTTGGAGTTGGAGAGTTTCGAACTGGACGACTTGGAATTGGTCTTTCTTTCCTTTTTTGAAGCCTTGTCCTCTGCGTTCGGCGTCCCGGCAACTGGCGTGTCACTTGGAGTTCCCGAGCCTGGCGGAGTATTCTGGCCCTTCTTCCTGCAGTAGCAGTAGACTCCAGCTAGGACAAGAAGCAGCACTGCGAGAACAAAACCAATAATCAAACCGATTTGCCAAAGGGGGAGTGAACTGCTGAAATAAGGTGTGGTAAAACTATGCTTGAGTTTAGAAACTCTAAGTTTAGTTTTTGAAATTTACATTTAAAAAAAGCGTGAATAACTTCACATTGTGAGAATTGACAACATATAACTAAAAACAATTCTTCATTAGCCTCAAAAATTTTCCAGAACCTCATACTAAACTCACTCGGACTCGGTAACAATGTCAACCACTTGAGTAGTAGCATTGGCTTCGGTAGTAGTCGTTTCCTCCTCAAGCTCAGTAGTTGTAGTCAGTGGTTTCTCTCTAAAATTGGAAAAATATTAAATTCCAGCTAAACCATTTCCATTTTATCAAATTTCGTACAAAAATTACAAAACATAAGCCCAACACAAAGTAATATAAGGACTGACGTTACATTTCCAAAAGCCAAAATCAATAGATAAAGTTACAGTAACTGTCAACTTACTTTAGATACAAGAGGGCCAAGGTTGTGTCGAGTTGGGCGTCAGTGAGGTCGCCTTGGGTCGAGGGGTCGCGGTTCTTCAAAGCCGTCTAAAATTCAAAATTTTTTGATCTCTACTCAGAATATTACTCCACGTTGGCTCTACCTTACTTTAGCTGTATTTATTTAAAAAATAATATTTTTAAAAAATATATTAAAAAGTCTTACCATGCTAAACATGACTTTATCCACCGTCGGGCAAGACTCGGCCTTCATAATAGGAAGTTTTCCGTCATCAACCAGCTTCAGACATTGACCCTGACCTTCCCAAATCAGACCATCTGAAGTGTGGCCGAATGTCAAACCGCAAACCTTCAGAGAGCCAAAATCCGCCGATTTAATCGAATCAGGAGCCGAAATCGGAAAACAAAACGCATCCATAAGAGCACACCTCTGGTAGAACACATAACCCGGTGATGAACTGGCTTGGACATCGTCAGACCGTTTTCTGACGAAACCCAAAAACTTCGGATCACGTCCGTTAGATGCCAACGTGAATGTTACTTGCGTCTGGCTCCTAAACAATGAAAATTAATGATTTTAAATTGCAAAACTACAAATTTTAAAAATTTATAAAAGTATTCACGCAACTATACTTACAGCTGCACGTACTCCCCAACGTGGAGGACTGTGCCAACATCAGTACTTTGAGGCACAATCATATGCTTCGTATAATTAAAGGTGGAATGCAGCTTGTACTTACTGAAAAAACTAAATTCACCAATAGAAAACTTTACTGTGGCAAACATAAACACTCAAAGAAGATACTCAACTCAAGTAAAAGAAACAACCAATACAACTTACGCGAAATCAGTCACGACGGTGGAATTGCCCGGGCATCGGACGTACTTCGAAGCGACGGCGTTGTTGTTCTCTACCTTAAATGCGTAGAAGTCTACGCATAACTCGGTGTTGTCGTCCACTGCCAGAATGGATAACGTGCTGATTGCCGTGTACGCCTTCAAGAAGTCCATGCACACCAAACCCCAAACTCGAAACCAAGGGAATGAGGCATTTCCCGAAAATCTGCGCCTTTTATAGGACTGACTTATTTAATTTCAAAGTTCAAATGAAATTCAAAATTTTATTCAAATTTCAAAAATTCAGAAAAAAATTTCAAATTTTACCGTTTCTAGATCAAACTTCACCCAATATTCTGAATTTCAGAGTCTCATTGCTCAAAAACTGAAGATTTCCTTCAACCGCAAAACTTCTTCAAAAATTATATTATCCATCCTTTTTGCGTTGAAACTATTTATTTAAACATTGTAACTTGCCTAAAAACCAAAAAAAATTAAATAAAACCAACTTACTTACAAATGTTGATATTCCTCAGCTATATTTCAAAGCATCTTATCCAATATTCGGCGTTCTTCAATTTACAAACTCTAAATCAAGGTGAAGATGTTCGTCTCAAACCAAAACGAATTGTTCGTCATGCTTAAACGAATGTTCTCCATTCTAAAACATTCAATCCATTACTTTACAGCTTTTCTTGGGTCTGCGAATCCATAACGCGTAATGTACCAAAGCCTAAAATGGTTATTTTTATTAGTGCAGGCCGCAGAAGCAGATTATACTTTAAAAGGTGCGCGGGCCATAAAGACCCGTTGCCAATTGTAAAATATGACACATTTTGATTTTAAATATTTTTTTCCAATTCCATATTTTATTTTAAATTTCAATTTTAAGGCATATTTATAACCTTAGGCATAAACCCTCCGTTGCCATTCTTTTTTAGACTTTGCGCCTAAATTGCCAAACTCAATCCTACCATAACGTTATCATGTAATGTTTATTGCTCTTTAATACCACATAAATATAATTGAGAGTTTGTTAGACAAAAAATCAAATTTTTAATCGAAAAACACTGAAAATGTTACAGTATGACAATACAAAAGAGTACAGTAAGAAAAAGTGAGGAATTGTATGCAGATTTTCATTATTACACTGTTTTATTACTAAAAATTTGGCTTTTGTTAAGAATTTTACAATTTACAGTACCTCAAAAGCTACAGTAATCCGATTTCTTGATTTTCTGGATTACGGTAGATTACTGTATTTTTTGAAAGTACTTTAAAAACGAATTTGGCTTGGACCAGAGTTGTATAATGGGATTACTGTAGACACCGAAAATACAAAAATAACCGAAAGTTACAGTAAGAAGGTTACTGTAGAATAAAAATTACAGTAACTTTGAAAAAATAAAATCATTTTATAAAATACAGTATTATTGCTTAGAAACGGTATTATGAGAAAAAATTACAATTTTTGAAAAATAAAAGTTACAGTACGCCATGCTGACCTACAGTATGACTGCTACCGTGAGAAAGAGATAAAAATCGATTGGACTAAGTTATGAAAACTGGTGAATTAAGTTGTAAACGTGAACATTAAGAGTGTTAAGGCCTCAAATTATTAAAAAAACTACAGTAACTCAAAATTTACCTACAGTAACCCAGAAGAAGATACTATTTACCGTCTTAAGGTAAGAATGGGCTACAATTACTCAGGTGAGTTACAAGTTTCACTGGAGAGATCAAATCACAGAATTTTTGGTTAAGGGGTTACTGTAACCAACATTTGCCCAACTGTAGTCACCTACATTAAGCCTATTTGTTACAGTATGACCATGCTTTTAAAAATACGGTAAGCTATAAGTCTTACCATAAGACCTTTTTTGTAGATTTAAGACTTGGGTGTACTGTAACTTCACAAAAGGTTTCTAAAGAATACCGTAATAAAGCGAAAGTTACAGTACCCATTTGTTGTCAAGTGTACGAAGAGTTACAGTATCTAAGTAGTGTTGTAGTAGAGATAATTGATTTAAAAGAGAGAACTGACCCGGTTAGAGAAAGAGAGACTGTTTTTACAGTATGCTACCGTATGACTGTCATCGGATGGAAAGGCTTATAATGAACCGGTCGAACAAGTGGAAGGTGACTGGAACAGGCTGGACTTGGTCTTGTGGGCCGGTTGGTCACAGTGTGTACGGTAATCATCCTGAAAATTTAAAAAGTTACTGTAAGTCAAAAACGTTTTCGAATTAATTACAGTACCCTATACTTTTCTCATTGGCAGTAATGTATCTCATCTCTTATTCATCAATTTTACAATATATTATATTCCCGCCTTTCAATGTTACAGTATCCTCGACTTTTAACATTGCAGTACTTTATACTTCCCCCTCCATCATAAATAACTACAGTACCACAGCTTTTTTCCTATAAATTGCAGTTCGCGATTTCATATAAAAATTACAAAACCCTAAGTTACAGTAGGCTGCAGTACTCCACCTACTTACTGTACCCTATGCTTTTCTCATTGGCAGTACAGTAAACCAATTTTTCCTCATCTATTTTACAGTAATTTACCCCTCCCTCTTGTCTGTCATAACTACAGTACCTTAAGATTTGCCCCCGCAAGAATACAGTACCCCGGTCCCAATGAAAAGTACAGTAATCCATTCCCTATAAAAATTACAGTAATCTATCCTTTTTCTTTCCGTCTGAAAATAACAGTATCCATCCCCTATAAACATTACAGTACCCATAACTTATAAAATTACAGTAACCCACCTGTGTGCCGAACTTGTGACAACAAGCGGAGCACTGATAGTGTTGTTGAATCAGTTTGAAGACGCCATCACAGCCCTGGCAGATCAGCTTTTGATGATTTTTCAGCCAGATCTCCTGCTGAAACACCTGCTGACACTGAGGACAAGCCCATCCCACCTCCGACTCCACGATGACAGCACATTTGAAGTCTTCTGAAGTTACTTTATGCTCAAGATTCTGAAGCGTGAGGCCATCTTGGGTGAAGGTGGTGGAGGGGTTGCCTGAGGCCAAATCGGCAGAGATCTGGGCCATGACTGCCTCGGGGATTTGGAGGCATTGGATTGGAGTGCCGAGCATGTTCGGGTCCATCAGAGCTGAAAATCACAAAATTTTTAACATTTCAAATTTCAAAAATTTTTTTTTCAAAAAGTTTAAAAAAAACCTTAAAAGAAACTTTTTTATATTTTTATGCCATTTTCAAACATCTCCTAGTAATAAATATGTCATTTTCATTCATTTTGTTACAGTTTTCAAAAAATTTTTTCAGTGGAAGAAATTCAGTGCGAAATGTTAAGGAAATCTTCCACGAACAAAAATTTTTTTCAAAAAATTGAAAAAATCTCAGAATCTATAGAAATCAACGTTTTCGTTCATTTTATCAGTCTTCTAAAAACTTTTGTTAGTGGAAGAAATTTAGTGCAAAATGTTAAGAAAATCTTCCACGGACAAAAGTTTTTGCATAAATTTGGAAAAAGACTCTCGCTAGTCTATAAATCAACATAGAAGCTTAAAAACTAAATTAACTCTCCTTTCCCAATGCTATAACAACTTCAAAAACCTTATCCATGAATAAGCTAGTTAAAGATATATCCACAACAAACTTACAATACAAAAGTGGATTCAAGCCAACCTCATCCACTGAACTGCCATCATCACTTTTCAGCTTGGGCCGATCAATTGGCTCTTCGTTTCCTCTCAACTCGGCTCCCTTTTCTTTCACCTTGCTAATGTGCTGTGCCGTGAATATGTGGTCTTGGACCGTGGATCGACCAGCAAAGTCGATATTACACTCGGTGCAGCCAGATGGTTGAGTCGAGCATAGCCCGTCTTCTTGGATCGCACTTGGCCCACATTTCCTTTGTTTGGCCCGAGCATTCTGGAACCAAACCTGGACTACACGCTTGTGTAGGCCAATTTCGCGGCCGAGGACTTCGCATTCTGACATTGATGGGGTCTTGTAGTCACCGAATAAAGACTTCATTACCTAAAAAAGGCAAATATTTAATTAAAATTTGTTTAAAAAAGATAAAAAAATAGCTCAAAAATCATTAAAATCAAGTACGATGTATGGTTAGTATAATCAATCATAATTTTAAAAATACAGTAACCTAAAAACCGTTTTTTAAACTGAACCCTTCAAAAGACCCTATACTACAATACAAATACAGGAATTGGTACAATTTCAAAGCTTAACTTATCAAAGACATCAATTATATTACACTAGGTTATCAAAAAACAACAAAATTAAAATGTGACACATAAACGCTCACACCTACAAAATTACCGCAACCCATCCAAAACCCTTATCATCAGACATCAACAAGACCTTTATTCAACTATTAGAGTTCTATTCAACTTACATAAACTTGTAGTGGAGTCAAATGGGTTCGATATCTTTTGGGCCCTCCTTGGCTCTGCGAACTGCCATTTGCGGGACTGCGAGTCGCGCCCATGCTTCCCAACGGGCTGCCAAACGCGCTCAATAAAGCATGTGGACTAGCCGACAATGCCCTGAAGTCGAAACTTCCATTCGACGAGAATTCATCCGCTTCTTGAGTATCGACCTCATCAAACGCTGGCGAAGTCGATTTGCGTTGATCTTTTTGTCGCAAATCCAAAGGCGATGCTCCTGTTAGTGCACTAATGGTACCGAGTAGTCCTTCCGTGGTTGAAAAGGCATCATCCGCTGCTGGTAGACTATCTATATTCACATTTACGGCCAACGGATTATCAGAATGAGCGGTTGAAATGTGGTCGGTCAGCTCGGATTTGGCCGTGAACAAGTTGGCACAAAAGGGACATCTCTTGGAAAACTTTGAAGTTTGACTCGTGAACATCTTCATCAACGCTTCCGAATCCGCGGCACCGGTTATGAGTTTCAGCAAGTCCTGTGGAGTGTTGTTGTTGTCCATCGAGTCTTTTCGCTGCTTTTCTTCGTCGTTGTGGCCAGATGGCGCGGGCTTCTGACGTTCTTCTTCTGTCATATTTTCTTCGACTGACTAAAAAAGGGCTTTATTAGATTCATAAATGTTTAATCTTACTACCACAATCGACTTTAAGAAGATATTTTATCAAAAACCCTATGAAATGAAAAAAAGTTGTAGGTATCGACAACAAACCAAGTATACCTTTGAAATCTCCTCGAAACTAATTAAAAATTATCATAATAGAAACCCAAACCATTTTTAAAACAATGCCAAGACCTCCTTCTTGCTTTTGCCAAGCATTCCCTCAACAACAATTTATGAAAATATACGATTCCAACTAAAAGTTTTGATCTTATCCATCAAACAGAACCTAACTCAACAAAAGACGCCAAATACTTTACTTGTACCCTCCTAAATCATCTAAAATACCTAAAACAACAAGCACACAACAAATGAAATACATTACCTTGTTATCCGTGTTCTGGGCATCCGTGTCGTTCGCGTAGCACACACGTTGTTGATGTTGGATCAGCTCGTAATATCGTTGGAAAACTAGCTGACATCGTTTGCATTGAAAGTTGCAACCGGGTGTGCGGATGAAGCGGTCCGTATTGTCTTGATTTGGTTGGTTTTCATAGATCTTTCTTGCCTAAAATAATATATGGTTAGTTTTGGAAGATAGGAGATTATGCAACAACACTGTAAACTGAAACACAAGTTTTTGCTTAGACAAAAAATTAAAATTCTTTTTATAAAATATCAAATTTAACAACCTTTATAAGTTTTCAATCATAAACATCGACAAGTTCAGCAAAAACGATAAAAATGGCCGAAAACCCTGAATTTTCAGCTCGCGCCCACCTAAACGCAGGTTGCAGTTTACTATTAGGGTAAGCTTCGTACAGAAAACTGCGAAAACAAATGTACTTTCGATAATAAAAATGTGAAAATAATGTGTTATCGTAAAATTAAAGCTTTTGAATATTTTTTAAAATTATTAAAGTTCAAAGTCCTCTGTTATTTGTATTTTTTCTCGAAAGATGGTCAGATTTTGACAAATTTTAGTCTGTAAACAAAGTTTTCGCAATTTTTTAGAAATTTAATTTTGACAGAAAGGAAGAGTAGCCTTTTCTTAACATTTTTTGTTATCAAACCATTGCCTGTAAGTTAATTACAAAAAAGTTATGGCCGATTTTTCCCGGTCCTATCAAAAAGTTCAATGTAATATTTTGTTAAATTTTAAAATTTTCATAATTTAAAAATGAAATTTCAAAAATGTTTTTAAAAACTTTAAAAGACTAATGTCTTAGCTTCTTAAAAATATAAATTTTGATTTTAGTCAAACACTAAAAATGGCATAAAACCCACCTTTTGTCTGGCGTTCTGGAACCAAACCACGATGACTCGGGGGCTTAGGCTTAGCTTCTTGCTCAACATTTCCAGATCGTCGTCCTTGGGGTAGGCTTGTCGGTCGAAGAATTCCTGAAGCGTGCGTAGCTGAAAGTCGGTGAATCGGGTTCGGTTCGCTCTTCGACCGGTCGTTGTGTTGGTCTTTGGCTGGACTGGGTTGAAGCCGTTCATCAGCTGCGCCAGTGGGTTCTCGTTCTCCATTAGGCTAGCGAACGGATTCTGTGGGAAGTTTTGAAAGTTCGGCATTGTCAAGGAGGTGTTGCTTAGGTTGCCCAGGTTGCTGCCTAAATTTCCGAGATTGTTGCTTAGATTGCTGATGTTGTTGCTCAAGTTGCCGAGATTGTTTCCAAGGTTGCCAAGGTTGCTTAGGCTGTTTAGGGAAGCCAGAGCTTCTAGCGTGGATTCTGAAGCGGATTCTGGAGTTTTGGAGCCAGTGGATTTGTCATCGTTCTTGTCCTCCTCTTCCTTCACTTTCAGTGGTATGATCTTGGCTTCGCCGGTCTTCTCGTACGTGTCCAGATCGATGCGCATCATTGGCTGGACGTTGAAGTTGTAGGGGCTGTTCTTGTCACGTTGTCGTTCCTTGAACAGTGTGTTCCTGAACCAATGTTTGATCACTTTTTCGGGCAGACTTGTCTTTAGGCTCATGTCCTTGATCTGTTGCTCACTGGGACTGTTGTTGATGTCGAAATATTGTCGTAGAATCTTAAGTTGTTCGTCTGTTATCCTAGTCCGGGCTCGCTTCTGGCTTCCCGAGTTCGGACTGGGGCTTTCTGGAGTCTGTGCCACGGGGAACATTGAGGCGAAGGCTTGGAACATTTCCGGATTCATGAAGGGGTTGTTCATGAATCCCATCACCGTGCTCAGGTCTTTCGCCGACGCTCCAGAAGATTTGGCTACACTGCCAGAATCTGATCGTGCTCTCTTTGCTTCTGGGGGTCCGTCCTCATCTTTGGAGTCGTCTTTCGAAGCTTCATCGTCCTTAGAAGCTTCATCATCTTCAAGAACATCGTCGCTTATCGAATCGACCGCTTTCTTCAGATTCTCGGCGAACTGCTGAATCCCATCGATGGGTACCGAGTTCTTGTTGATATCGTCGAATTGTTGTCGTAGGTCAAGGATCTCATTGTCCGGTATGAATTCAATCTTCTCTTTTTTGATGTTATCAACAAATTGGGACACCAGTTCGAAGCCGTAGCCTTCCAACGAACGTCGAAAGTCTTGGCCCAGCTTCCGGGGCTTCGGCTTCTCTTTCTTAGCTTCGCATGACGACAAAATTAAGGATAAATCCAATCCATTGTTTTCTGATAAGTCTAAAATATGGTGTTAATTAGTAAAATCAAATTTAAAGACAAAACTAAAGAATCAAGTTTTCGTGTTAGGACCCAAAAATATTTAAATTTTGCAAAAATATCAAAATTGATAAATTTGATACTAAGAAATACGTTTATCTGCACTAAAAATGCTATAAAATGTCGTAAAATTTTACTTTTAGCCCAAAAACAGGTTTTCGTGCTGCGACCCAGAATTCCCCAGAAAAATGACAAATTATAATCGAGTAGCAACTAAAACTGCATTTCCATCCCTTAAAAATCATAGAAAAAACAAAAAAAGTAATTTAAGAATTTTTCAAGTTTTCGTGCTAAACCCCGAAATTTAAGTATTCGTGCCGAGACCCAAAATTAAAAAACCCAATAACAATATAAACCACCACAAAGAACACGCTTACCTAATCCAGAATCCGAAGCCGAAGTGCTGGGGTTCTGTGCTAACTGCATAAACTGTGCCATGTTGAGGATGTTCATGAAATTGACCGGGTTTTCTGTCGAGTTCATGTCCGAGGCGTCAGCCTGAAAATTAATAGAAATTAGTAAAAAGATAAGTTGGACAAGCAATTTTGTTGTAAAATACGGCACGATCTAATGTTTAGCGGGGCATAAAATTTTAAAAATTCAGAATTTAAAAATTTAAAAGTAGGTATTGTCAATAGAAAGGTTATCATATCAGCCAAGCGAATTAAGATAGAGATGAGCATTAGTGACAAGAAATGTTGCCAAAACATAGTTCTTTCATTTCGTAAAAATAGATTTTTGAAAAAACTGCAGATACTTTGTTTACAGAGCAAAATATCTTAAAATTTTATACTTTTTTGCTAAAATGAGGTTTAAACCTCGTATTTTACAATATGCAAAATGTTGTTAAGCAAAATATTGTTAGTATCAAGAACTCTTTTTAAACAAAAAAAATTAAAAAATTTCAAGTCAAAAACTTTATTTACGGACTAAGAAAGACCTATTTTTTTGCAAAATATAGCATAAAATTCGTGTATTCTACCATAAAACCCCCATACTTTGCTTTACCCTGCCCTAACCCACCCTCCTCTACTCCATCCCACCCTACCCTACCCTACCCTACAATATCCTACCCTACCTTAAGCTACCATACCCACCCTGCCTTATACCACCCTATCCAACCCCACCTCAAGCCCTATTCCCTCCACCCCACTCCAACCTCTAACCCATGCCCTGCCGAGGTAAAACAAACAAGAATCCGAAATTAACGACAACACCTTGTCTCGAATTACCGTAGAGGTTGGCGGAAATGGGTCGTCTCATTACAGCGTGATCGCCATTCCTTATTTGTCATGGATCGCAAACATTTGCGCGCACGACAAACCGGCAAACTCATCAGCGGATTAGGGATGAGGTGAGTCAAAGGGCGAAGAAGGGTGTGGCCTTGCCTCCAACCGGTTGGACAAATAGCCGTAGGGCCAATAAGAAAGTGGACAGAGTTGGAAGTTTTGAGGTTTTTCACAGAGAAATGGCTGTTTTTGGCTTTGTAAACAAAATTTTTGCGAATTTTTTGAAAAAATGTTTTAGTGGAAAGAAAGTTCTTGCTATTGGCAACATTTTTGATTATTAGTCCTTATTTAAAAATATCTAAAACAAAGCACTTTCTTTAAGATTTGTTCAAAAAACCTGAAATTTTTAAATTTTTTTTAGCTTGTAAACAAAGTTTTTGCCATTTTTAAAAAAATTTTTTTAATGGAAAGAAAGTTCTTGCTATTGGCAACATTTTTACTTATCGTTAATTGTACAGAACTAATTTAAATTGAACACTATTCAAACATTTTTGCAAGAAAACCTAAAATTTTCAGATTTTTTGGCTTGTAAACAAAGTTTTTGCAAATTTATCAAAAAATTGTTTTCACGTTATAACACCTTGTTTAATTTGGCACATTTTTCATTATTACCTTATTTCATTCTACCTTACAATAATAAATTTATGAGCCTTTTGCGCCAACCTATACGCACATTCGAGTGTAATATCCTTGCAAACCCATTACTCTCCCCATATGACCGTACTTTTGCTGATTTACTGATGAAAGCAGGGCTTGTTTAATTCGGAAATGAATGATTGGTTAATGTAAATAAAAGGTATTTGTGCGGATCCCGGCGGTTTAACGAGCCACAAAAAAAGGAACCCGCGACCGAAAGCATTAAAGCATAATAGGCAAGGGGGAACATAAAGGGCCCTCTCTTCCATTACCATCATCACCTTTCCAGCGCTTAACTTTTTCGAACAAACATCATTTTATTATATTTTAATTTTCGAATTAGTTTTTGCCCGGTGAGAGAGTGTGGCGGGGTTGGAGAGGGCAGAGAAAATAAAAAAATTGAAAATTTTAGGCAAAAATAGTGGTATTGGCTTCGGAAAAGACGTCATAACTTTTGTAATTTAAAAGATATGCAAACGTAGTAATAAGAAAAATTGTTGCCAATAAAAAGTACTTTCTTTCCATAAAAAGGAAATTTTTAAAAATTTGCAAAAACTTTGTTTACAAACAAAGAAAACTTAAAAATTTGATAACTTTTTATCGAAACATGGCGAAGAAACCGTATTTTACAAAATCCGAACACATATTGATAAGCAAAAATGTTGCCAATAGCAAGAACTTTCTTCCCAACTAAACAAAATTTTAAAAGATTTGCAAAAACTTTGTTTACAAAGGAAGAAAACTTAAAATTTGATGATTTTTAATCAAAAAATGGCGAAGAAACCGTATTTTACAAAATTCGAAAAAATGATAATAAACAAAAACGTTGCCAATGACAAGAACTTTCTTTCCATTAAAACATATTTCTTCAAAAACCGCGAAAACTTTCTTTACAGCTGAAAAACCCCCGATTTCTTCGCCAAAACACGCTTTTCCCCCAACTTTTTTTCAGAATTCCGGCCGTTCCACCGTGCCGATTAGCCAAAAAACAATTGTGAAATTGAAAATATCACACCGAATAGCAGCACATCAAAAACTTCATCAAAAAGTAATCATAAAATTACCGCATCCTATTAACTATCATATTAAATGGCGGCCCGCCCAATTGATTTGAGTGCTTTTTCGAAACGGAGGTGAATGATGGATATCGAATTAGACTCATCTCGAGTTTAATTTGTTTTTTACGTGCGGTGGGATAAACAATCAAGACTGAAAGGTAGTAATGGTAGTTGAGGGCTGGTGTTTGGCGGCGAATCGGTAATTTTTTGACAAAAAATAACGGGAAAATGAGGGAAAGTGAGCGAACGTTGGTGTGTAAATAACCATTTATGCTAATATAACTAAGGTAAAGTAAAGCAAGTTATAATCCAAAATAACCACTATAGCCTTGTTAATTATAAAAAAATTAAAATAGCCTAGATTACAACGTAAAATGTCACAAAAACTGCTTTAAACCCATCAAAACCCTATATTTTTGTCAAAAATGCCTCAAATTTTCGAATTTTTAAAAATTTCAAACTTAACTTCAAACTTTTGAAAACCCATATATACCATAACATAGCCAAGACTCTCAATTACCACTACCTAAATTTTGGAACCCATAACATAACCATAAACTTCATATTTTTTCATTTTTCCTAAGGTCTTCCAAAATTTTTCCCGACCTTAAGTGCTTCAACTTTGACCGGTCTTTGCCAAGTTAATATGAAAAATAAAATCAAGTTTAATGTTTACTAGTTAAGAAAGGCCCTAAAGGTAATGCATGCTCAATTTTTAAACTTTCTGAAAAACGCAAATATTTTAAATTTTTCAAAAAATTTAAAAAAAATCAAAAATTCTTCCAAAAAAAACTTTAAACATGCCATATTAAAAAAGACCTGAAATTAAACCAATGTCAACCACTACCACCGTATTTTACACTATCTTCCCCACCATTTTCCAAATTTTCAGTCCAAACGGTTTACCGTAGCCTGAGTTATACGGTATTTTCCAATGATCATAAAAGACAACCGGTTCCTAATGAGCCGTCTTAATTAGCCAAACGACGATTGGCTGTCTTGAAGCAAGTGTTATGAGAGGTTGTTACGTCTTTTGTCTTAAGCCGGCAAATAAATGAGAAGTGAGAGAGTGCGCTCGACGAAGAGGGCGACAGACAGTGGGAAAAGAGTTAGAGAAATAATTAAACGGAGGAAGGGAGGAGGGTATGGTAGATGGGTTTTGGTGGGTGGAAATTGAAATTTAACTACTATAAATGAAGTTTTGTACTGCTATGGGTAGTACAAAATACTTTTTTAAAAATTAAAAATTTTTTTTTCGAAAAAAAATTTAAAATCTACCCCAGCAAACAACAAACCCCCACCTCATACTGCCTAAAAACCCACCTCATACCGGCTGGAAAACCCCATAATCCGCTAAAAATAAAAAGTTGATGACCAATATCAATACCTTCCAGATTATTCCCTCCCCCCAAAATCCGAAGGAAATTCGAAAGCAAACGAATAAAATATTTTCCGATTACTAATAAAGTAATCAAAGACTGGGAAAGAACAAATTATGGATTTGTATAAGTTTTATTGCCTCTCATATAAATGAGGGAATTAATCGTTATCATAATTTTTTGAGAATTTAATTTCATTCTAGATGTCTTGGACAGTTACTATAAAAAATGCCATAACTTTCTTTACAGAATCTTAAAATACATAAAATTTTGAGAGTACGTTGAAAAATAACTAAGCTTTAACTCTAAACTACAAAAAGTGCAAAAACTTTCTTTCCAAACCCTATATGCCGATAAAACCACAAAATACGCCAAAAATTGTACAAAAAGTGCCCCTGAAACAAAGTAACACAACTTCCTTTTCAAAAGTCAAAAATGCAGAAAAGTGTTAGACAAGACGTAAAATACCCTACATTACCATGCTCTTTCAAAATATCTAAGAATTTTCATTTAAAACGCAATAACTTTCTTTCCAAAGAACCTAAACCCTCAAAACTTCGAAAAAATAAACTCCAAAATTCCAATGATACGTTTGACAAAAATTGCAATAACTTTCTTTACAAAAGTCGAAATTCAAAAATTTTTTTAAGACAACACTTAAAATTCTCTATATTATAATACTCCATCAAAAGATCCAAGAATTTTCATCAAAAACGCAAGAATTTTGTTTCCAAAGTATCACAAGCTTCAAAAATAATCCCTTAATTTCAAAGATTGTAAAAAATCTAACAAAAATGGCATTGAAAAAACGGTAATAACTTTCTTTACAGAAAGCAAGATTTCGTAAAATTTTAACACTACATGCAAAAAGCCCTATGTTATCATATAGTTTAGCTAAATCAAGAAGTGTTTATCAAAAACACAAGAAATTTCTTTCCAAACTTACCCAAGCTTTCGAAACTTGAATAAAACGTTTTCAAAGCCAAGAACTTTAATCTACCCCCTTTAACATTACCCCTCCACCATAATAACATATACCAGCCTGCCCAAAGCCACCCTAATGCTACCCCATCCAAGGTTGAGTTATTGCTATCAAACCCAAAGTTAAACTATTGCTACAT